TACAAATGCCATTACTACAGAAGCAACTACCACAAGTCCATCCACAACAGCTTCTACAACCACCACATCTGCAACAACCGCAGAGGCAACAAGAGTAAAGCGGGTGACTTTTAGATCAGCTGGAGAAACATTCACATCTGACCTGCTGAATCCATCATCTGCAGTATTTATGGAAAGAGCTGCAGTGATTAAGTCAACGGTATGTCTCGTCTTTTGAATGTCATGTAGAACACAATGATGTCACAGGGCGCTAGGATCAAGCGTTAGCCACTGCGTCCAACATGCAAGACTCTGGTCTAATGAAAGTTTGTTGCATAATATCAACAACACAACACTGCAACAACAGTTGCAGTGTAAGATCAGATCTTTCCCTTATATCGTTTCTTTCTGTCTGCAGCTTGAACCTTTATACCGACGACCATTCCCTTCATTCCGCTCTTTGACTGTGGTTTCATTCAGGTAATTTATTAACTGGTATGGTCTGCTGAAATCATTATATAAAGACAAATTAATCAAAGTTGGATTTTTTTCCCAGCAATGGATCTATCATCAACAACATGGACCTAACGTTTGCATTAGTATCCATTCCAAACAACACTGAGATAGCAAAAGTATTGACAACTGCATCTCCAAATATCACGGCCTTCAACATTGATGTCAATTCTATTTTTGTGGAGGGCTCACGTGAGTAAAATTAGATGTTTATTCATTGCACTGAATTGGATCAAAATTCTACCGTCTGAAAAACCAGTCTCGATAAAAAAAAATGTTTAATTCCCCGTTGTCTTTCAAATTTACAGAAATATCGAGTGGAGTAAGCCACAAGATCAGCCTCATCACGGCATCCTGCATGGTGTTGTCATGGTTACTGTCAAGCCAACAATAACCTCTTTGCTGAAAGCCGTGAGAAATCTCATCAGGAAGTTTAGTTTTACTGTAAAGAACAACAAAACCATATGATGTAAACATGACACCTTCTTATGAACTGTAATTTTCATATGACTTAAAAGTTATTTATAAACTGTATTTAAAAAAAGTAAGGCTCACTTTGTTTAATGATGACAAAGAACAAAGCAACCAATCATCATGTTAGTTAACTCTTGAAAGCAGAAAACTTTGGAGAGTTTTGCTACATCTTCCTAATACTATATTTTTCTCCATAATTTTATTAATGAAGGAAAAAATCTTTAATAGAAATGAAGGAAGTAATGAAAAGAGTTATATTATTAAGCTATTTGAGTTATTGTACAACAGATTTATCAAATAAAACTAAATTGAAACTTTGTTATTTGTCCATTTCTAATTATTTAAGGTGAATATGAAGGTATGAGCTGTGTGACACAAATCAAATGTAAATGGACTGTACTTGTAACTGATTAAACTAATTCACACTAGGGATGCAAATTATCGATTAATTCATTAATCGTTAGTTGATTAT